AAGACCCTATTTCAAAAAAAATAGCCTCTTTTGACCATCTTTCCATGTCACCACAATGGTGTGTATGAATGTCCTGGCTGATGCTCTCAAGAGCATCAACAATGCCAAAAAGAGAAGCAAACACTAGGCTCTTATTGGGCTGTTCTCCAAAGTCATTGTCCCGTTTCTAACTGTGATAATGAAGCGTGGTTACATTGGAGAGTTTGAAATAATTGATAATCACAGAGCAGGCAAAATTGTGAACCCCACAGACAGGCTAAACAAGTGTGGAGGGATTAGCCCCAGATTTGATGTGCAACTCAAAGATCTAGAAAAATGGCAGCATAATCTGCTCCCATCTCACCAGTTTGGTTTCATTGTACTGACAACCTCAGCTGGCATCATGGACCATGAAGAGGCACCTGTACCTCTTCTTGTTAAAAATCCAAAAATTAATATGCTCATGACATATGGATACGCAGGACAGCTATAGCCATTCAAAACTTAGTATGGATTTAGCAGGGGGAAGAATCTATCTACATCTTACCTTTTAAATTTCAGTGAAGCTTCTTGCTAGCAGAATGAATAATAATTCCATAGTGCTTAGTATTACATTGACCAAATCAGAGTTTCTAAGCCTTGGCACTCTTGCCATTTTGGGCAGGATAATTCTTTGTTGTGAGGAGGTGTCTTGCATATTGTAGAATGTTGAACAGCATCCCTGACCTCTGTCTAGATCCCAAGCCACTAGCACACCCAAGCCCTGTTAGGACAACCCAAAATGTGTCTAGACATTGCAAATGTCTGCTGGAAGACAAAATTACCCCCAGCTGAGAACTACTGGCCTAAATGAATGTATACTTCATTCATGTGATAGATATTGCTCAATGATGAAAAATTTAAAAGCATTATTAGGTTTGTATAAGAAAAACCAAGATTAATGTTTAAGAATAGACACAGTAGGGATTTTAATAAAAACAATGGTCCTGCCATTTTTTATTTCTCATAGCAATACATACTTACATAAGGAAAAGAATTGTACATTTAAAATTCTGATCATTACACTAATTTTTTGCAGTTGAATAATAAAAGAATGAATCTTTTAGTGATTTTTAAAAATACTTTCAAGGTTTGAAAATACAAATTATGATATAATAAACATTCAATAACTGGAGTAAGTTCACTTTCAAATGAGAGACACTTGGCACCCAGTAACAGTAATGAAATGCAACATCATTGAAGACAGCATCTCTAAGGATCTCTGTCTGGAATCATATCTTTAGTGTAGACTCACAATCAATTCAATCTTTCAACCTACATTTTAAGAATTTAGCTTTAGGCTGGGCGTGGTGGCTCACACCTGTAATCCAAGCACTTTGGAGGCCAAGGCGGGTGGATCACCTGAGGTTGGGAGTTCAAGACCAGCTTGACTAACATGGTAAAACCCCATCTTTAAAACACACACACACACACACACACACACACATATAAATCAGTTTTTCTCTAATAAAGCCTCGAAAAAGTTGTATCCTGAGGCACTATAAAGAGAATGAAACTTTTTTTGTTGGTAATCAACAGCTTCAAATGTTGGTTTTCAGCAACAAATTATAGATATATTTTTATAAAAGGCCAAAGGCACAGTAAAACATTGAGTATTTATACTTCACCATTTTAGAACTCAAAATAATTCAGAACACAAAATAATCCAGGTGACCAGCACCTAATCTGTCCTGTAGGTGGCAAAATTATCTTAAGAGGAATCCAGGCACAGGAGTCAGAATTGCTGCATTGAAGTTAGTGACAGATGCCTTAAAGCTTTATGCAAAACACAATTTTTAATTTTTTTCAACTTTTATAGATTAAAGGTGCCTTTTGTATTGCTCTAAATTAACAAAGATTTGTCTGCATGGTCAACACCAATGCTTATGTTTTCATTTCTCAGGGGCTAGACTTCCAGTCTGAAGATAATTTTTCTTTTTATAATTATTTCTGAAAAATTCCTCTCCTTTTTCTCTTGTTTCCTAAAAAATAAAGCTTTTGCTTTATTTTTATTTATATTTAATTATTTATGTTTTTGGAGACAGAGTCTTGCTTTGTTGACCAGGCTGGAGTGCAGTGGCGTGATCATAGCTCACTGCAGAGTTGACCTCTTAGGCGCAAGTGATCCTTCCATCTCAGTCTCCCCAGTAGCTGAGACTAAAGGTATGCATTATGTCCAGCTTTTTTTTTTTTTTTTTTTTTTAAGAGAAGTCTTACTATATTGCCCAGAGTCTTAAACTCCTGGGCTCATGTGACTGTCCCACCTCAGCCCCCCACAGTGCTGGGATTATAGGTGTGAGCCACTGTAACCAGTAAGGTTTTGCTTTATTGTATAATCCACCTAACTTGAAGAAAGAGAGATTGTGCAATTAAAAATCAATTGTTACTTTTTAGCAGCTGTGAAAAGCAAACTTAAAACCGATATCTAAAAGGGAGGATATGAGGCCCACTATATTTCATTCAGCTTTACATTTTCCCAATTATTTGTACTGGATGGAAAAACTGTAACAAGACCTTTAAAAAGTTACGATAACTTACAGAAAATTTTGGGCACCATGATTATGACTATGCTTATATGTAAGGAACAAAGAAGTTTATAAATGATTACAGTTAAAAAGCTAACTCCAGTCAAACAACATTTTATCCTCAGGAGTTGATACCACTCATTTTCATGGCTCCTTTGCTTCCTTTCAAGATGGAGATACTAATCTATGTCCTGGATTCATAATTAAAGGGTCAGATATGAGAAACAGTCAGAGTCATCAAATAAAAACTGGGGGCAGGCAGGGCCGGGTGGCTCACACCTGTAATCCCAGCTCTTTGGGAGGCCAAGGCAGGCAGATCACAATGTCAAGAGATCGAGGCCATCCTGGCCAACATGGTGAAACTCTGCCTCTACTTAAAATACAAAAATTAGCTGAGCGTGTTGGTGCATGTCAAGTAGTCCCAGCTACTTGGGAGGCTGAGGAAGGAGAATCACTTGAACCCAGGAGACGATCATTGCAGTGAGCCAAGATTGTGCCATTGAACTCCAACCTGGGCAAAAAGAGAAAGACTCTGTCTCAAAAAAAAAAAAAAAAAAAAGGGGAGAATGGAAAAAGCAAATAAAAAACTTTTTAATTGTTTCAATTACCATATTGGTTGTGGTTGTATTTGTATTGTTATTCTGAGACAGTTGCCAAGTGTAGGGTAAATAAAAGAAATGAGTAATTGTGAGAGGTTCTTATTCTGTCATGCCCCATGTTCTTGAAAACCAGGACTCCCAGTAAAGAAGAATAGAGATATAGTTGTAACAAAATGATTAAATAAAAATTCTGTAGGTTGGGCATGGTGGCTAATGCCTGTAATCCCAGCACTTTGGGAGGCTGAGGTGGACGGATCATGAGGTCAAGAGTTTGAGACCAGCCTGGCTGTCATGGTGAAACCTTGTCTCTACTAAAAATATAAAAAATAGCTGGGTGCGGTGGCATATACCTGTAATCCCAGCACTTTGAGAGGCTGAGGCTGGTGGATCACCTGAGGTCAGGAGTTCAAGACCAGCCTGACCAATATGGTGAAACCCCCTCTCTACTAAAAACACAAAAATTAGCTGGGTGCAGTGGATGTACCAGTAGTCCCAGCTACTTGGGAGGCTGAGATAGGAGAATTGCTTGAGCTGGGGAGGCAGAGGTTGCAGTGAGTTCAGATCGTACCACTGCACTATAGCCTGGGCAACAAAGTGATTCTGTCTCCAAAAAACAGAGAGAGAGAGAAAGAAAAAGAAACAACACACCATGACTTATAGTCTTGCCGAAAGGACTGAACCTGAGTCTTCTCATATTCAATGTGCCTGAATCTGAGCTGTTTGCCAATATCCAGAGGACAAGGGAATGTGCTGAACTGTGCCTTCAATGTGAAATCAGCAAAATACAGATTATGGGAAACTCTGTAGGTCCTAAGGTCAGGCAGTTTCTTCCCCAGGTAAATTTTAAAGAGCTGGAAAGAAGGAGGAGCTTATAGATTTTAAAAGACATGTAAAATAAAATATACAACTAATAACAAATTTAAATTCATAATACTAAAATATAGAGGTGCATTTAGGTGTTACAGCAGTAATCAAATGCAACAAATGATTACTGTTGAGGTCAGTCTAGTGGTTACTTTTGTGGAGTTATAATTATGACTGGATACAAAAAGTACATGTGGAGTGAGTGGCTGAGTCCTAAAAGAGTATTTCCTTATAATAATGCATTCAGCTATAAATTTTGTGTCTGTTTTTCAGTACTTTTATTTTATAATTTTTAAAAATGTTACAATTGAAAAAGAAATCAAAGCCCTTAGGGTTTCCTATATACTATAAAGTATGCATGCAAATACTTCTGTAAATATCATCTGATGGTTCTTAAGAAATTGCCTATATTATAGAAATATTTCTAAATAGCTACAAATATTTGAAAAATACTAAATTCTTATGTATTCATAGTTATAAAAAGTCAAATAATTAAGTTTCCTTTTCTAACACAAAATTTATTTTGTTACAGTATTATGTAATAAAATTTGGTTAAATGGGCTTTCTTTCTTTCTTTTTTTTTCTTTTTTTTTTTTTTTTTGACAAAGTGTTCCCCTGGTCACCAAGGCTGGAGTGCAGTGGTGCAATCTTGGCTCACTGCAACCTCTGCCTTCTGGGTTCAAGAGATTCTTCTGCCTCAGCCTCCCGAATAGATGGGATTACAGGTGCCTGACACCACACCCAGCTAATTTTTTTATTTTTAGTAGAGACGGAGTTTCACTGTGATGGTCAGGCTGGTCACAAACTCCTGACCTCATGATCCACCCACTTCGGCCTCCAAAAGTGCTGGGATTACAAGCATGAGTCACGGCACCCAGCCTAAATGGACTTTCTTGACTTCCAAAGTTTTCCTTTCTAACTCCCATACAAGATTATTAATGTTATTCTATTAGAGATTAGAACAAGAGCATTAGAGCAGAGTTTGTATTTCTTCGAATGTCTGCACTTTGTTTCACTCTGTTTTTTTACGTAGAACAAAGATTAGTTACCGTGCCTAACCATGATGGGAGTTATTAATATGTAGCATTAGACACCGAGTGTTATCTAATTTGCAAACCAAGATCCTCCACCCACTTGCCTACCCTGTGTCTTTTCCATATAATAATGACTGATGTAGACAATTTTGGGTTGTTAAATGTGTAAAAATCTCAAGAACGTAAAACAGATTTAAACCATCAAAATTAAAGCAGTTTTAAAATGCACTATAACAATAAACATGGACAAATGTATAACTGTGTTGTTCATTTTTGCCCATCAAGCATTGACAACTTCCAATTTGTTCAAGCAGCATCTTAAATGGTGTGATTCAGTGGTCCCTTTTCCTTTCCTTTTACTAAAATTATGTGGTGTTTGAGTGATTCACATACTCAAGAAGTGACCGATCTAAGACTCTTCGGATAAGAGCTTCCTCAATTATATTAAAATCCTACAATAAAGAAAAAATAATTAGAAATATTCAGATTCAATAGTATTTCAGAAACTGGAGGATGAAGGTCAAGGCAACACCCTCATTTTGCAGGGAACTAAAGTTAGGAGACTTGTCCGAGGTTCCACAAAGCCTGTCATAGAACCCAGGACTTTTGCTTTGGGGCTAATGAATTTTCTACTTCACTTTGCTGTCTATCTATTAACTAGTTACTGTTATACTAAAAAGTCTTGATTGGAAACTTGAAGTTTTTATCTGATGTAAATAGAAGTTTTTAGTCAACATTACAAATCCTGGTCGGAGTGTTATGTTCCACACAAACCTGTAAAATAGAGCAAAGTTCAGGCATCCCCGCAGGCTTCACCAATGCCAGCAGTACTACTGAATAGCTATTTTGGAAGAAAATGTTAAAAACAAAACTTTCTCCTTGCCTCTCTATGTGTCAAAGTGGAATTCAAAACTCATGTCAGCACATTCTATAAGTAAAACAAAAGCCATTAAGAATACTATCCTCTGTAATCCCTCTCCTCTTCCGTAATAAGAAAAGGAGAAATCTCTATTCAAAGTCCATTCTGCAACATAAAAACAAACAAACAAAAACCCCACAAAAATCCAAAGAAAAGCCATAAAGCACAGTAGAGCACAAGGTTTGGTCTTGATACTACTGGTTTGTTCTTTGGTGATTTAGTTAACCTTTGAGCTTCAGATATTTCAGTTAAATTAAGATAAAAATACAGTATTCACTTTTCACGGAAGTTGCTGCAAGGAATGAAATGTGATAGGTACATAGAATGCTTAGCTTAGTATATAGTAGCCCAGTAAGCAAAAAAATAAAAACAAAGAACACTACTTCAAGCTCACTTTCATACCCAAGAATATAGCTGTGAGTGGCTGGAAAATATTCTTATCAAAGTGGCTTCATCTTGACTAGCTCTGGATCATGCTTTGTCTGAAAGATCTTGAGAATAGACTGAACACGATTAGCCAGAGGAGGCATAGAATCCACCTGGCTTTTAGAACATCTCATAGAGCTAAGATAAAGAGAAACCCCTTTGTATTACCAGAGAGAACACAAAGACCAGAACCAAGTTCTGTTGAGGCCTGTGTTCTGTACAGGCCACAAAAGACATGCTTAGAGATATGGACTGGAGAATTTAAAGCCTCTGTCATGTTCCTTGTTCAGTTCCTCAAGTGGTCCTAACAATTCCACTCCATCCCATCTCCAACTTGCCTAACATCTGCTCCTGAACTATGCAAATCACTTTATATACATTAGCTCATTTAATCCTCAAAAGAGTTTTGGGAGTAGGTGCTTTTAATCTCCTCCCTTAAGCAATGGACAAACTGAGTTTCAGAGGTTAAATACCTTCTACAAGGTCACACAGGTGACAGAGCTATTGCTTAAAACTAGTTTAGAGTCCAGATATGGTGGCTCAAGCCTGTAATCCCAGCACTTTGAGAGGCTGGGGAGGGCAGATCACGAAGTCAGGAGTTCAAGACCAGCCTGGCCAACATGGTGAAATCCTGTCTCTACCAAAAATACAAAAAAATTAGCAGGGCGTAGTGGCGCAAACCTGTAAGGGTAGCACCCTGCTACTCGGGAGGTTGAGGCAGGAGAATTGCTGAACCCAGGAGGCAGAAGTTGCAGTGAGCAGAAATCAGGCCACTGCACTTCAGCCTTGATGACAGAGCAAGACTCTGTCAAGGGGAAAAAGAAAAAAAAAAAAAAAAAAAAACCTAGTTTAGAAACAGAGGTCCCGGCATCCTATCTGGATAATAATAATAGGCAGATAGAAAACATGGAGAAAATTCTTAAATGACGATTTCCAATCATTATTAAAATTTATCTAGAAATTGCATTTCATTTTTTATGTAATTTCATCTCAGCTAATAAGCTCTCGATTTAATAATAATTATTACAATGTATAGGAAGAGATTAGAGTAAAAAATAATTTAAAAACTAAGTCTGGCCGGGTACGGTGGCTCACGCCTGTAATCCCAGCACTTTGAGAGGCTGAGGTGGGTGGATCACAAGGCCAGGAGTTCGAGACCAGCCTGGCCAAATGGTGAAACCCCTTCCCTACTAAAAATACAGAAAAATGCACAATGTGGTGGTGCATGTCTGTAATCCCAGCTACTTGGGAGGCTGAGGTAGGAGAATTGCTTAAACCTGGGAGGCGGAGGTTACAGTGAGCCAAGATTGTGCCATTGCACTCTAGCCTGGGCGACAGAGTGAGACTCTGTCTAAAAAAAACAAAAAACAAAAAACTAAGTCTGACACTTTGTTATACAACTATTGCGATTTTCTAGATTTAGAAAATTGCAATGAAATAACCTCATCTAGGATCCAGGGAAAACATTCCTTTTTTTTTTTTTTTTTTTTTTTGAGTTGGAATCTCACTCTGTCACCCAGGCTGAATTGCAGTGGTGCGATCTTGGCTCACTGCAACCTCCGCATCCCTGGTTCAAGGGATTCTCCTGCTTCAGTCTTCCAAGTAGCTGGGACTACAGGTGTGTGCCACCATGCCCAACTAATTTTTTGTATTTTTAGTAGAGATGGGGTTTCACCACGTCAGCCAGGGTGGTCTCCATCTCTTGATCTCATGATCTGCCTGCCTTGGGCAGATCCCAAAGTGCTGGGATTACACGCGTGAGCCACTGCGCCCAGCCTAATTTTTTTATTTTTAGTAGAGATAGGAATTCACCATGTTGGCCAGGCTGGTCTCAAACTCTTGACCTTAAGTCTCAAAGTGTTGGGATTACAGGCATGAGCCACTGTGCTGGGCCAAAACATTCTGTTTTCATGATTTCCTACTTAAGGCTAAAACTCAACACTAACTATATACACATTATTTCCTCTATAATTTTATTCACTTTATTACTTTATTAGAAAGGTAAGCTCAACAAACAGACACCATAAAAACATAATGTAAAAATAAGAAAACATACTTACTATGAAATCATCATAAAACAAAGTGTGACTAACTTGCAGATGTCTTATTAAACTGCCACTGAAGCTGGTTGGATTCTCATCAGGTATTAAACGGCAAAGTGGACAGAACTGGAAACAAAAAAGACCAGGGGTTCAAGAAAGAATTTAAAATAGTTATTAGTGTCAAAATTTAAAGCAACAGGTAACCATTCAAAAACTCTCAACTTTATTAATCCATTAGCCACATGTCAGTATTATGTTATAAAATTACATATACATCAAAGTAACATTAAGCAAATAAAATTTTGTTTCTTCATACGCATACATAACAATATAACTGTTTGTTTCGTAGTCATAAATTTATTAAACAATATTACAGTTATTAGATGTACCATAATTTACTTAATTAGTTTGCCTACCTCTTGGAACACTTGTTTTGTATGTGGATATTTTATTATCGCAAATGAGAATAACTATAGTGTTTACCTTTTAGGGGATTAGTTTCTTAGGAGAAATGGCCAGAAATGGCAATTACCAGGTCAACAGCTATGAACATCGGCCGGGAGTGGTGGCTTGCGCCTGTAATCCCAGCACTTTGGGAGGCCAATGCAGGTGGATTACTTGAGGCCAGGAGTTCAAGACTAACATAGCCAACATGGTAAAACCCTATTTTTACTAAAAATCCAAAAATTGGTCGCACATACCTGTTATTCCAAATACTCGGGAGGCTGGGACAGGAGGATTGCTTTAAAAAAAGATTTTACCAGGTGTTGCCTGTACTCGTATTTGTGTGTGTGTGTGTATGTGTGATATAGTTTGGCAATTTTTCCCTGCCCAAATCTCAGGTTGAAATGGTGGCTCAGGCCTGTCATCCCAGCACTTTGAGAGGCAGATCACTTGAGGCCAGGAGTTCGTGACCAGCCTGGCCAACATGGTGAAGCCCAATCTCCACTAAAAAGACAAAAAACTTTAGCTGGGTATGGTGGCAGGCACCTGTAATCCCAGCTACTCAGGCAGCTGAGGCATCAGCTCTGTCTCAAAAAAAAAAAAAAAGGAAAAAGGATTTACCAAGTTTTGCCTGTGCTCATATTCTCTCATTCTCTCTCTCTCTCTCTCTCTCTCTCTCTCTGTGTGTGTGTGTGTGTGTGTGTGTGTGTGTGTGTGTGTGTATGATATATAGTTTGGAAATTTGTCCTTGCCCAAATCTCATGTTGAAAATAATCCCTGGGTTCAGTGGCTCAGGCCTGTCATCCCATCCCAGCACTTTGGGAGGAGGATCACTTGAGGTCAGGAACTCGTGACTAGCCTGGTCAGTGTGACGAAACCCATCTCTACTAAAAAGACAAAAAAAATTAGCTGGGCGTGGTGGTGCATGCCTGTAGTCTCAGCTACTCCAGAGGTTAAGCCAGGAGAATGGCTTGAACCTGGGAGGCAGAGGTTGCAGTGAGCCAATATCATACCACTGCACTCTGGCCTGGATGACAGATCGAGACTCTTGTCTCAAAAAAAAAAAAAAAAGGACCTAGATGAATTAAAAAAAAAAAAAAAGATACAGACCCATTCTGCATCAAAAGAAGCCAGTGTGTTGCTATCCTTTATTTCCTTCTCTCTCCCTAACATCTGATCCATTCCCTATATTATTATTTGACTATTTCCAGAAGCTTACATAAATAGAATTATATAATATTTAACCTTTTGAGATTGGCTTTTTCCATTGAGCATGACTTTGAGATCCATCGAAATTGCTGGGTGTATTAATAGCTCCCTCCTTATCACTGAGTAATATTTCATGGTATGGATGTCCCACCATCTGCTTATCCATCTAGTTTTTAAAAGGCATTTGGGTTGTTTCCAGTTTTTGGTTGTTACAAATAAAGCTGCAAGAAGTATTTGTGTATAAATGTTTGTGTAAACATAAATTTTCATTTCTCTAGGATAAATTTTCAGGAGTGTGATTGCTTGGTTATATGATAAGTTTATGTTTAACTTTGTAAAAAACTGCCAAACTGTTTCCAGAGTGGCTGTACTATTTTACATTCTCACCAGCAATGTATGAATTATTTCGATTTTCCTTATTTTCCCCAACATTTGGTATTGTCCAAATTTTTTTATGTTAGCCATTTTGATAAATGTGTAGTGGTATTTCACTTCCGTGATGGCTAATATAAATAACCTTTTTTTTTTTTTTTTTTTTTTGAGGCGGAGTCTCGCTCTGTCGCCCAGGCTGGAGTGCAATGGCGCGATCTCAGCTCACTGCAACCTCCAGCCCCCGGGTTCAAGCGATTCTCCTACCTCAGCCTCCTGAGTAGCTGGGACTACAGGTGTGTGCCACTGTACCCAGCTAATTTTTTAATTTTTAGTAGAGACGGGGTTTCACCATGTTGGCCAGAATGGTCTCAATATTCTGACCTCATGATCTACCTGCCTCGGCCTCCCAAAGTGCTGGGATTATAGGCATGAGCCATAGCGCCTGGCAGCAGATGCTTTCAATAGTATACCAAGTGCCATATTCAAGATGTGAACAGACAACTGTTCAAGACTTGTAAAGGGAATTATTAATTTTGCCCAGGGGTTTGGAAAGGTTTCGGCAGAGCTGCTGGTAACTGAAGTGGGTCTTGAAGAATGAGTCAGCCAGGCCAGCAGGGAGGACTATCACAGCAGAGGAATCAATGAGGGAAAAGGCAGTAAATCCTAAAAGAGAAAGGCCTGCTGAGGGCAATAGAAAAAGCTCACTGTAACTGGAGGTAGAGCAAGCTGGGGAAGTGGTAGGGGATGAGCTTGGAATGATAAGTTGGGACCAGTTCTGCTTCGTATTTATTCAAGCACCTGCCATGGTTTCAGCAGACTTGATGCAAAGAGTCAGAGGTACAGAGATGCCAATTACCTTGATCCCTACCATTAAGGAGCTGATTCGAGTCTAGTGAAGAAGATAAATACAGAAAACCTGGAATTTTAAGCAAAGAAGTTTTTTGTTTTGTTTCATTTTGTTTTTGAGACAGGATCTCACTTTGTTGCCCAGGCTGGTCTTGAACTCCCAGACTCCAGCGATTCTCCCACCTCAGACTCCTGAGTAGCTAGGATTACAGGTGCAAGCCATTGTGCCCAGCTTGAGTTTTTGTTGTTAGTCTGACATTAATAGGGAACTAATGGAGTCTTCAGTCTCTGGTGTACATGAAATTTAATTGTGTGACTAAAGACACATCTGTCAGAAGGACACTGCAAAACAATGGGCTGAAGTCTGTACTAGTGGAAAAACTTATTTTGTTACTTAAATTGGGAGATTCAACCTGAGGGAGGAGAGAGTAAGAATAGGAAGGAGAAAGAAATGATAGGCGAGAGACAGACATATGGTTACCTAAGTACCTAAGTGTTGACCTACACTCAATTACTCAGTGTTGTCCATTTCTTTTCTTTCTTTTTTTTTTTTTAAAATACAGAGTCTTGCTCTGTTGCCCAGGCTGGAGTGCAGTGGTGCAGTCTCAGCTCACTACAACCTCCGCCTTCTGGGTTCAAGCGATTCTCCTGCCTCAGCCTCCTCAGTAGCTGGGAATACAGGCACCTGCCACTACCCCTGGCTAATTTTTTGTATTTTTAGTAGGGATGGGGTTTCACCACGTTGGCCAGGCTGGTCTCAAACTCCTGACCTCGTGATCTGCCTGCCTGGGCCTCCCAAAGTGCTGGGATTTCAGGCGTGAGCCACCATGCCAAGCCTAATATTGTCTATTTCTTTTTTTTTCCTTTTAACATTTTATTATTATTATTTTTTTTAAACAGGGTTTCACCATGTTGGTCCGGCTGGTCTTGAACTCCCGACCTCAGGTGATCCGCTCACCTTGGCCTCCAAAGTGCTTGGATTACAGGTGTGAGCCACCACACCCGGCCTAATGTTGGCTATTTCTTAACATCAGCTCATCCTTTATTACTTGTCTCTACTCAATGCTCTTATATTAAGAGCCAACAACTCTACAGTGTACATTCAGAAGATACTGGCTTCACCTCTCTATGGACTTTTTCTGATGGTGAATGCAGTGGGCAAATAATAGCTATCATATTAGAAGCTACTACCAACTTCAGATAATTGAAAACTGTTTCTAAGATTAGCCTCCCACTTACCAGACATGGTGATATTATCATATCCTGATGCTCCCACCAAATCCCCCAATGATGACAGGTCTTTAGTGGATGAGCTTACAGCTCATTCACTGTGCAGGCCAGCGTGTCAGAGATGGGACATCTGCCTAGGCAAAGATTTCTGGAGTAACACCCCATAAGAAGAGGGCAACCAAAGGAAAAATGGACAAATGGAATCACATCAAAAAGTTTCAGCACAGTAAAGGAAATAATCAATAAAGTGAAGAGACAGCCCACAGAATGGGAGGAAATATTTGCAAACTCCTCATTTGACAAGGGATTAATAACCAGGATATATAAAGAGCTCAAACAACTCTACAGGAAAATAAATTAATTATCCAATTTTAAAATAGGCAAAAGATTTAAATAGATATTTCTCAAAAGAAGATATGTAAATGGAAAATAGGCCTATGAAAAAGTGCTCAGCATCATTGTTGATCAGAGAAATGCAAATCAAAACTACAATAAGATATCACGTTGCCACAGGTAAAATGGTTTGTATCCAAAAGTCAGGCAATAAACAAATACTGAGGAGGATGTGAAGAAAAGGGAACCTTCATACGTGGGTGGTAGGAATGTAAATTAGTACAACCACTATGGAGAAGAGTTTGGAGATTCCTCAAAAAAACTGAAAATCAAACTATCATATGATCCAGCAATCCCACCGCCAGGTATAGACCCAAAAGAAAGGTACCCAATATACTCAAGAAATATCTGCACTCCCATTTTTATTGCAGTACTATTAAGAATAGTCAGGATTTGGAAGAAATCTAAGTGTCCAGCAACAGATAAGTGGATAAAGAAAACATGGTACACATACACAATGGAGTACTATTTAGTTATAAAAGCGAATGAGATTTTGTCATTTGGAACAACATGGATGGAAGTGGAGGACATTATGTTAAGTGAAATAAGCCTAGTACAGAAAGACCAACTTCATATGTCCTCATTTATTTGTGGGAGCTAAAAATTAAATCAATTGAACTCATGGAGATAGA